CTATATATATATACATATACCTACTATATATATACATATACCTAATATATATACATATATTTATATATATATACATATATTCATATATACATACATATATATATATATATATGTATATCTATATATATACGCGCGCGCGCGTGTGTATGTGTATATAAATACATAAATATATACTTTTATAGATATATACAAATACATCTATATATATACATATATATATAAATATATATATAAATATATATATAAATATATATATATATATATATATAAATATATATATATATATATATATAAATATATATATATATATATGTATATATGTATATAGATAGATAAGTATATATATGTATTCTATATATATTTATTCTTATATATATGTACATAGATATATGTATATATATATATGTATATATATATGTTTATATATCATTTCTATATATTTATATATATATATACATTTATATAATGTTACATACACATATATTTAATGTATATATATATAAATATATATATATATAACTGGCTATATATTTGTATTCTTCGTACGTATCCGAATGCTGTAAACCATGTGTATGTATATATCTATTTGTACACATATGTTTTTCTTTGTGCTATATTTGTCTTCGTATTGTATATATGTATACACACACACACACATATATATATATATGTATATATATATATACACCAGATTTATGAGTTTGTATGGGTGTATCTATGAATTTCTCTAAGAATTGTTTATAGTCCTATTTAAGTTTGGGTATCATGTTTGCAAGAACATATTCCATCAATCACGGGTGGATGGGTACGGCGGGTCTCGATTCCAAGTGTCAAGTATTGATTGCAGGGTCGCATTCTACAGTTATAGCTTTTAGATATGTCGTACAATGTTTGTGATCACAAACATTTACCGGCACAATGTACTTGTCTATGAAAAATTAAACACGGAACTACAGATTTGTTTTAAGATACCGAAACCGCACCTCATTTTGTATTTCCCTCTTTGTTCACGCTGTAATATTTATACTTTTCCATTATTCTTCTCTTTCTGCTTAGCCTCTCTCACCGCTGCTTTCTTCTGCAACCAGTACGGCGATAACGTCATTTGATTGCTCGCGACACAACCCACGAGCAACGGGACCAGAGAGCCCACCACAACCCAGTACCCGATTCCCAACGAACAGTTTCCCGGGTTGTAGGGGCCTGCATCCGCACCACACATGTGCACGGTCATTTCACGTTCTGAAGGGACGTGCAATTGGCTAATAGACAGGGGATACACCAAAACGATAACCAGCGTCAGTACAAACGAGGCAGCCAGGTACAATCCCGCCACAAGGTCGGTGCGCGTCTCAACGGACTGGTGAAATAGCCACATGTACGTCATGGTGAGCAGTACGATGCCCACAGAAGCGAGGACCAGAAACTGCAACCACGCGAGGAGCCCTAAAGTGGATGACGGGAAGTCGTACAGTAGGTTGAGCCCAAACAGGCCCGAGACGTCGGCGCTACTATAGTACTTGTTGGCTTCCACCCCCTGCGCATTGTATTTGTAAGCGTCCGTGGGTACGGTGACATGGTATCCCGCTAATCCCATCGTGACTTTATACAAGCCAATAGAAACGTAGTCGTACACCAGCGATCCCTCTACTTCCACCCACTGATCCGAAAGAAACGCATACAGTACGAGACCGAAAGCGAGGGCGGTGGCCAAGAATGTGACAATCCGGTGCCACTGGCTTGCTATCCTATCCAAGATGCGAACACAAGGCTTCTCTCGCACGTGCTGGTCATATATATCACTTGTTTTGTGGTAAAAGAACGCCATTTGTATACGTCGAGGTAGATGTTTGATGTAAAACATGGCACTATAGAGTTGTTGGATGAGCGGTATCGGCATAATGCACAACGCAACGTAAAAGAAGGTTGTCTTGTCGCCCAAGAGGCACAGGATGAGGGTCAAGAAGATATTCGCCACATATATACAGAGCACATAGGCCAGCCCAAGCC